GGGAGCATAGGGTGCCAGCACAATGGTTCAGTCACGCCCAAGTCTGTGGAACATGGATTAAAAAGAGCCATTGTTGAATGTTGAACATCAATGGTATGTGAAAGTGGTTGCAGTGATGGTTGCACTTGGTAAGGAAAAGAGATGCCGGATCAGTTAGGTACTGTGGTACATGCACCAACCCTAACCCCGATCTACAATTTATGGAAAGAATGTTTCCCAAGTTCTTGGCATCAACCAAGCTCCCATGTCCGTGCCAAGACATTTCCACTTGCACCTCAGCTCCGTCGACCGGCCTGTCCCGAGACGTCGACGGGAATGGCATGTCTCCTCTGACATCAGTTTCGAGTTCCACCCCGATTACTCGATCATTACTCGATACAATCCACTTGTGGTGTTGAAGGTCAGAGTCACAGTCATCTCCTTTTTATAACAGTGAATATCTTCACTTGAACTTTCTCACTCACACAAAAGTCACAAACCACTCAGACCACTCCCATCACCACCACCGGACCCAGACAGACACAATGCCCCTCAAGGACTCCTACATCCTCCCCGCCGCGGCGGACATGCACGTCCACCTGCGCAACGCTCCCGGCCCCATCGCCGAGCTGGTCACCCCGACCATCCGCAAGGCCGGCATTGACACCGTCTTCGTCATGCCCAACTTGGCTCCTCGCCCCGTCGTCACCGTCGATGAGGCTCTCGAGTACAAGAAGGCCCTCCAGGCTTACGATCCGGAGGTCAACTACCTCATGTCTCTTTACTTGCACGAGAGCATCACCCCCGATGAGATCCGCAAGGCTAAGAAGGCCGGTATTGCCGGTGTCAAGGTTCGTCCCCCAACCATCATTCTTATCATATAACCCACTAACACCCCGACCAAAAAGGCCTACCCCCGCGGCGCAACCACCAACTCCCAATGGGGCGTCCTGTCATTCGACCCCTTCCACGCCGTCCTACAGGCCATGGAATCCGAGGGTCTAGTCCTGAACCTGCACGGCGAAATGCCCTCTTCCCCCTCGGAAAATATCACAGTAATGAACGCCGAAGCCAAGTTCCTCCCCACCCTCGCCTCTCTCCACGCCAAATACCCCAATCTGAAGATCGTCCTAGAGCACTGCACCACCGCCGACGCTGTGGCCGCCGTGCGCGCCTGCGGCCCCAATGTCGTGGCGACTATCACCGCGCATCATTTGAGTTTGTTGGTAGACGACTGGTCCGCAAACGTCCACCATTACTGCAAACCTTCCGCCAAGTCGCCCGAGGACCGCTGCGCGCTTTTGCAAGCTGTCGTCAGCAGCAACGGCAAGTTTTTCCTGGGAACGGACTCAGCGCCGCATGATATCTCGAGCAAGAAGGGCAAGGGCAACACCGCCGCGGGCGTGTTTACGCAGCCGTATGCGCTGGGATACGTTTTGACTGCGCTGGAGGAGGCGGTTGCGCGGGGGGATGTCAAGGAGGAGGAGGTGACGGAGGAGGTGCTTGCTGGTTTCTTTAGCGAGTATGGACGCAAGTTTTATGAGCTTGGCCCCGCGGAAAAGAAGATTTTGGTGAAGAAGGGCGGGGCGACGGTGGAGGAGAGTTTGAAGACGGACAAGGTGGAGATTGTGCCGTATAGGAGCGGGGAGAAGACTTGGAGTGTTGAGTGGCAGTAAATAGATTGTGATGCTGCTGGACAGGAACTGATGGAGGTGGGGGTTGTGAGGGAAAAGAAAATGGTGGAAAAGGTCTGGGGACATAAAAGTTATCAAAAGAAAAGGTGTGTTTGGGTCTGGAGTGGCTTTTGTGATTTCAACCAAGAGAGTACAGATATGTTATGAGTGGCTGCAAAATACAATACTTGAGTGGTCGATGTCTACCCAGGAATTAGAGGATAGACGCCGACTTTGACATAATACGAATACTTTCCACGTCTTGCAGTGATCGTTCGACGATGTCCATTCACAGCTCCAACTGCTTCGATACCTGCACTAACCACTAGTCTACATGAAGAGACGTGAAAGAACAGGTAAATATATGGCTATATACGGACAGTCATACACTTGAGTGGGATTCAGCCCTTGCATAGTGCTTGTCCTTGAGGGATGCTGACTTGTGCAGCCTTATAAGCAGTCCCAAAGCTACACTCGCGAAAGCAGCTTCGTGTGAGATTCTAGGACAAATATATAAAAAACCGTCTTGTCCTTTCCTTTCACGTGGTCTGTTAAACATGGGATACAGTATCTAGAAATCTACCAGATAGGTTTTAGGTATTACAGATAGACATCTGACGTAAAAACCGAACGAAGCTGGGTTTGTATAAGCTTGTCAACGCAAATTAAACCAGACAGGCAGATTAACATGATAACTCCTAAACGCCGTTGACCATTCCTCTCAGGCCACCCAGTCCACTCTTGGATATTCTCAATCAACCTCAACAAGACCATGACAGAAAATCAAACATTGCCAGCTAAACCCACCACACTCAATACCTATCCTGCTCCTTCCTTCCATCCCCTTCTACCTCCTCATTTTCCTCATTACCACCACCAGTGGTCCTGCTAACCTCCTCATCCCCCCTCAACTTAGCAAAATAAGCCTTAATATCCTCCGCCCCCACCGCCCGTCCACTCTCCGCAAATTCTCTGAAAAACGGCTTCAGTTTATCCTTGAGATGGTTATAAGCCATCACACCCTCGATAGCTCTCACACGATCAATGTTCCTTAGCGCTGACTCTCCTCTTTCCAGCAGTGAGCCAGATCCTTGTGTGCTACCGCCGTGTTGGGAGTGGGCATCACCGGCGTGAGAGCCGGATTCGGAAACGGGTGGTTCGTAGGTTTCTTCCTCTTCTAGAAGCTGGGGGTGGGGAAGGAGGAGGGGGAAGCAAGAGGGGCAGTGGCAGAGGGAGGAGCGGAAGGTGGGGGAGGTGAAGAAGAGGGAAAAGGGGCCGGAGGATGGTGGAGGGGGGAGGGTGGTGAGGAGGCAGGGTTTGGTTTGGGCTGCTGTGGAGGTGTCGGGATCTTTGATGAGGGTGGGGGAGTCGGTAGTCATTGGGATGTCTTCTGTTATGGTGAGCGTCGCTGTGGCTGACTCCTCTACGGCGGCGGCGATGGTCGCGGTAGAGCCGTTGGTTGTGATCGACTCGGTAGTAACGGTGGTGGCCGATTGGACAGTCTCTGAAATGGCAACCTCCTTGGTTTTGAGCTTCTTTTCTTGGGATTCCTCCATGTACTGATTGTCCACGTCGGATGCTTTACGCTTCTTGGACGAGGAATCACCGTTGACTTCGAGTTCCGAGGTGGCGGTCGTGATTTGCTCGACAGGCTTGCTTTTTTCCCCCTCCTTCTTCAGATATACAGGCGGCAAGAAACCTTCGGTGCCCGCGTACCTCTTGATCCAGGGGTAGGCTTCGACGCACTTGTAGCAAATGAAACCCTCAAAGTCGTCGTCGGCAGGAAAACCGGGCGGCGGAGGCGGGTCGTCGTCTTCATCTTCTTCCTCTGCCTCTTCAGCATTGGCGCCGTTCTGTTGTTCTGTTGTCTCGTCTTCCGCAATGGTAGGCAGGGGATCACCACTTTCGGTTTTGACTTCCGTCTTCACCTCTGACTTTTTGGGCTTATCCTTCTTCTCCATCTTCTCATACCAATCAGGTCCCAAACCCACGATGCACCCAGGATGGTACCAGTCCTCTCCACACCCGCCTGTCTCCGCAGTGCCTAGCCCCAAGCACTGGAACATGGTTCCTTTTTGTTCAAACGGGTCATAGTCGCACTCACAGCCGCAGAACCTATTGCGGAAGTTGTGATTGTACTTGTTGTTCACGTCTGGTTCCTCAGAATGCACGTCGCCCTTGGTGCCCGTCTCCTCGTTGATGCGTAGATTGCAAGGGCTCGTGGCCGGAAAGCGCTTGGTGCCACAGTCGCAGGTGAAGTTGCGCTTGGCGAAGATCTCGACGAGGGTATGCTCGCCATGACACTGCACGGAGCAGGAGTAACAGATGCCCGCGGCGTTGTAGGGCGCTTTGGGGTCGGCGGGTGGTGGGTTACAGGTTAGACAGGAGAAGACGGCCTGGCGGAGGGGGCCGAGGGGCTTGGTGCAGTTTTCGATGCTCTGGTGGGAGGTTAGGGTTGAACTTTCGATGGGGATTATAAGCAAAGGCGAGGAAAGGGATACGCACGTATGGAAGAGCTTCGCGCGCATCGGCCTCTAGTTGCATTTGGTCGCGGATGAAGCTGAACTATTGTTAGTGCTTTCTCGACTTTCAATTTCAGTATCTCATAACATACTCTGCGGCAGTCTGAGAGTTTTCCGACTTCGCGGAGAAGCTTTCAGTGCGAGTCTTGGTGAGCGCGACTGGTGCTGGAGCTTCATGGCCATCCTGGGTAGCCTCGGCGGGCTGTTGCGCCGGTTGGGGTTCCATTGGTATTACTTTCAAAGTCGATCTTTGATGGTTGAAGAATTGATAGGGCGAGGAGAGGAAGGCTTGAAAGATTGTGGCCGGGAATGAAAGAAGAGATGGTTGCTGGGGCACGAGCAGGATGGGGGCACGTTACTGAAGGCGTGAGAACACGGGAGACGGGCCGAGCTTGCATGTACCTGGACTTCAAAGGGACTGGAGGTTGCCAAGCAGAACAGATTGGAATTGGGTGTCAAATTATGCTTGAAATTTCTCGAAACCAATATTCACCTCTCGAAGTTTGTAGTAACTTTTAGCTCATGCTTTACTTCCTCTACTTGCCATTGTTCACTTTGTCTTTGAGCTTTTGTGACTTTTGGAATCTCGACAAGGTCGAATTGGCGTGTAAGAGCAACACCAAGTGTGGGTCTGGTACGTATTGCCAAGCCCATTAAACCAGCAACCACTTAACGCGACCGTCCCTATTTGGCTTAGTCTATCGCGCGTTGCGCGTCTTCCCTTGACTACAACGCGAAAAAAAGCAGGGGCAAGGTCGGTCTTGGTAGGGTCACAATCGAATCGCAAGGGCAACTTTCAGTGGTTCCTCGACTGTTTGTGTCTCCATTCCTCTCTCTCTCACTCACCCCGCAACCCATCCATTCTCTCTCTGGCTGGCATTCTCCATAGCAACAACCAGGCCAGCATCTCATCTCTATTCTCTTGTTTCTTCCATCTGTAGCTGGCTACAGTATTCTTGAGATACCCTCCAGCAAGTCTCAACCATGAGGTATGGATGCTTTGCTCTTCTGACACGGCTTTCTTTCGCAAGTAAACAGTGACTAACTGAACATCTTCACCAACACCACAGTTCCCCGCTTCGCGACAACCCGTCCTCTGCCAACCGCGGCACCGTTCCCAGGGCCACCCGCAAGCGTGCGCGCAACGATAACGATGGTGCTTCCTCGCTTCCCCGTGCTTCAAGCCCCGTCATGCCTTCTTCTCCTCCTGCCTTCCCAGTCGCCCATGGCGTAGACGAGGACGACGATATCGAAGAGGACGTTGCCGCTGAGCTCGAAGACGACATTGACGACCTTGACGAATTGGCCGAAGACGATGTAGATCTGTTCCGCGAAGGCTTCGAGCGCGATTATAGGGAAAGAGACCAAAACGACGCCTACGAAGGAATTGACATCGACGATGAGGAATACGAGGGCCTCGACATTGCCGCAAGGCGCCGCCTCGAAGCCAAGTTGGCCCAGAGAGACCGTCAAGTGAGAATGGGAATGGGCACCACATACCTTCCCGGTGAAGACGACGATGGTGATATCGACCTCACCAACCTGGAACGCCGCCGAAGAATCCGCTACAATGAAGACCCCGACGTGGATATGGACGGTGACATCATGGACTCAGAGCTCCCTCTTGAGGCCCTGATGGACGTCAAGGCTTCCAGCTTGAGCGAGTGGATCTCAGTCCCGGCTGTCCAGAAGACCATTCGCAGAGAGTTCAAGGCTTTCCTTACAGAATACACCGACGAGAGCGGTTCGTCCGTCTACGGCAACCGCATTCGTACCCTCGGTGAGATCAACGCCGAGTCTCTCGAGGTTTCCTACGAACACCTCGCTACGGCCAAGGCCATCCTCGCCTACTTCCTCGCAAATGCGCCAACCGAGATGCTCAAGCTCTTCGACGAGGTTGCCATGGAAGTCGTCCTTCTCCATTATCCCGACTACGAGCGCATCCACGCCGAGATCCACGTCCGTATCTTCGACCTTCCCATCCACTACACCCTCCGTCAGCTCCGCCAGTCGCATCTCAACTGCCTCGTGCGCGTGAGCGGTGTCGTCACCCGCCGTACCGGTGTCTTCCCCCAGCTCAAGTACGTCAAGTTCGACTGCACCAAGTGCGGCGTCACTCTCGGTCCCTTCCAGCAAGAGTCCAACGTCGAAGTCAAGATCACCTACTGCCAATCCTGCCAGTCCCGCGGCCCCTTCACCCTGAACTCCGAGAAGACCGTCTACCGCAACTACCAAAAGCTCACCCTGCAAGAATCCCCCGGCACCGTTCCCGCCGGTCGTCTGCCCCGCCACCGCGAGGTGATCCTCCTCTGGGACCTGATCGACAAGGCCAAGCCCGGCGAGGAAATCGAAGTCACGGGCGTCTACCGCAACAACTACGACGCGCAGCTCAACAACCGCAACGGCTTCCCCGTCTTCGCCACCATCCTCGAAGCCAACAACGTGGTCAAGTCCCACGACCAGCTCGCCGGCTTCCGCATGACCGAGGAAGACGAGCACGAGATCCGCCGCCTGTCGCGCGACCCGCACATCGTCGACAAGATCATCAACTCCATCGCCCCTTCCATCTACGGGCACACCGACATCAAGACCGCCGTGGCTCTCTCACTCTTCGGTGGCGTCGCCAAACAAGTCGGCGCCCATCACATCCGTGGCGACATCAACGTCCTCCTCCTCGGCGACCCCGGTACCGCTAAATCGCAAGTCCTGAAATACGCCGAAAAAACCGCCCACCGCGCCGTCTTCGCCACCGGCCAAGGTGCTTCAGCCGTCGGTTTAACCGCCTCCGTCCGCCGCGACCCGCTTACCAGCGAATGGACCCTCGAAGGCGGCGCTTTGGTTTTGGCCGACAAGGGCACCTGCCTAATCGACGAGTTTGACAAGATGAACGACCAAGACCGCACGTCCATCCACGAAGCCATGGAACAGCAAACCATCTCCATCTCCAAAGCGGGTATCGTCACCACGCTGCAGGCGCGCTGCGGCATCATCGCGGCCGCTAACCCCATCGGCGGCCGGTACAACTCCACTATTCCCTTTTCTGCGAACGTGGAGCTCACCGAGCCCATTCTTTCCCGTTTCGACATCCTTTGCGTCGTGCGCGACACCGTCGAGCCGGAAGAAGATGAACGCCTGGCAAGGTTCATCGTGGGCTCGCACTCGAGGAGTCATCCGTTGATGAATACCCAGGATGCCAACGGCACCGGCGGTGACTCGATGGAGGTCGAACAAGACACGCAGGCAGCGGGCCAGGAAACTCAGCAAACGGGTGAACACGGCCGCAAAAAAGGAGGGAGAAATCCCACAGGAGCTGTTGAGGAAGTATATCCTTTATGCGAGAGAGCGGTGCCAGCCGAAATTGTATCATATGGACGAAGATAAAGTGGCAAGGCTGTTTGCGGATATGAGGAGAGAAAGTCTGGCGACGGGGGCTTATCCTATTACTGTAAGTTGTCAACCTTTATCACTCACCCATACCACCCTCTCTTTCCCCCCTCCCCTTCTTCCCTGCTTCTCTTATTTCCATGTACTAACTGCGTATACCAAAAACAGGTCCGTCACTTAGAAGCCATCATCCGCATTTCCGAATCCTTCTGCCGCATGCGTCTCTCCGAGTACTGTTCCGCCCAGGACATTGACCGCGCTATCGCCGTGACCGTCGAGTCCTTTGTCGGCTCGCAAAAGGTCAGCTGCAAGAAGGCGCTTGCCAGGGCTTTTGCCAAGTACACGCTTAACCGGCCTGGTACTAATGTTGGCAATGGCTCTGGGTCTGGTACCTCGCAGCAGGGGAGACGTGGTGGTGCTGGTAGGAGGGGTGTGAGGGCTGCTGCTTAGGCTTGGCTATGGTTGTGATTAGTGATATGGAGGATTTGTTTTGTGAAGGACTTGGAGGATTACACGGTTGGGTTTTTGTTTGGGTTGTTTGTGAAAGGTTATAAAAGGGCTTAATCAGAGCCGGAGTGGAGGCGTTGGGTATATCACGTTGTATGCTTGGTACTGTTGACGAGATAATGTCATGTTTTCTGGCTGTTCGGGTACACTGCAATAGAACTCAAAGTGATAAACCAAAACCTGGCATTATCAGCAATCGTATTTGCCTCCATCTATCTAGCGTCGTATCATTCCTTCATAACATCATGATGTAGCTCTCCTATTTGTGGTACCATGTCGCACCGTCGTTACCACGCCAACAAGAAGATACTTATCAGACAACCGATCTTCCACCTGATATGTGTGAAACACCCACGGCTTCTCCCCATTACTGTCATTCCACTGCCCTTTCCCTCCCTCGAATGACAAATACACAATGTTAAACCACACAAACTTAGTCCATACACACGTACGTCTATGCACGTAATGAAATACAAGACAATATGCTCTTCTCCTAAAGTAAAGCAAACAGTATTTATGGAAAGCGCAAAACGCCAGAAATCTGTGATGCTGCCACATCCCGCTTCCCTTATAGTAATATGCATCGCCTGCCTTTGCCTCAAACGCCGATGTATGCATAAGAAAAGATCCGATTGTAGTACCCATAACAGTGAAACCGGCCGTAGCAGAAAAATGCTTGAAATATGACTGCTCCTAGTTGTCCCATGCCAAATTAAGTTGCAGCTTTGCCACTGGCTTTGCCAATATCAGCCAAGCGAGGAGATGGCCTAGGCTTCTAATAGTGGTCGCTTAGCATTCCAGTTGAACGCTCATAACTGAAAATAGAGAGAAATGTTGAGGGAGAGAGAAAAAAAAAGAAGCGGTCGGAGTAACTTTGATTCCACAGCCCCAAGCGGATTACGTCGCTCCAATTTGTGGCCAGTCAAAAGACGACCGGCTGCTGTTCCAAACGGTTATCGAATGGTGGTCAGATCGAAAAGGAACTTTGTCGCAATGTAGCAAGCCGTTACAAAGGGTGTGATATCCCAGAGTTCATACAATGGACCCCAAATGATTCGAAATCCTATCCACGGTGGATATCCAGCCAACATATCCGACCGACAAAACCTAGGCACACATATACTTTTGGTAAAGGGGCAGTGCAAGACAACTGACCCCTATCCGGTAAGATGATACCGGATCAGGATGCACGAAGATGCTTGCTCAGACGTCGGTCATCGTCGTGTCAAACTCTTCCGTGGTCGAAGCCGTCTCCAAGCCCCAGTTGCCTTCGTACACCGTTGCTCCAGCGGTCCTGCGGCAAGCAACCCAGTCAACGGACTCTATCTTCAGTAGGTCATCGGCTGTGGGTCGATTCGCAGGCTCAGGCTGGATCATCCACCGGACAACGCTGTCTAGTGAATGCGGATCATTGGCCTCCGCCATGAACCTTGGGGGTTCCTGGAGCTCACTTCTCTTTTGCGCACCAAACAAGTTGCTTGGATCGTACGTGACGCCAGACATATCGCCATCATCGTTGAAAGCCTGTGGAACCCGGATAATGCCGCTGGCATCACTCGACGTAAGACTAGGCACAACTGTCAAATCGCCATTTCGAAGGGCCTGCCAGGTGGGGCCATTGTCGGGAAGATAGACATTGCAAGCAATCTCCAAGATGATGAGTCCGAGAGCAAAGATGTCGGCTGGCTTGTCGTACTGTCCTAACAAAATCTCAGGGCCAATGTACTCTCGGTCACCTTCGCCCTCGACGCCTCTAGGAGCCGGCCATGGGACTGCAAATCCAAAGTCTCCGATCTTAAGAAAGCCGTCGAGTCCGATGAAGATGTTTGCAGGTTTTAGATCCAGGTGAATGAAGCCAGCGCCGTGAATAGCGGAAAGTCCCTGCAATCAATCAGTTAGTATGCCATTGTTAGAGGTTCAGAAGTAATACAGCCTACCTGGCTTAGTTCAAGTAATGTCTTCCAGATGCGGAAATCATCCATCCTGCCGTTCTGCCCAACCTCTCTGAGAAATGCGTCAAGACTGCCTTCGGGGCAATACTCAGTCTGGATGTACAAACATCCATTTTGTTCCCAACTATCGACATAGTGCACAATCTTGTCTGAAGTGCTCAGGGCCTTCAAAACGTTGACCTCGCGCATCTTACTTTCGCGTTGCTTCTCACTATGGCCGGAGAACGCAATCTTCTTGACGGCATATACCTTCTCTACCTCGGGCGTATGTCTGCCAGGAGTTGATGTAAATGACGAAGAAAAGGAAGCCATTGTGGAGCGTTGGACAACGCGATACACTTGGGAAAAGGCACCACCCCCGATCACCTCAGCCTTGTCGAAGCGACTATATAGTGCTTCATCGACATTAGTGGGGGCATTCAGGTTTTGGGGCGTAGAGCTAAGTCGACGATTCTGCCCTTTGGCAGGTGGCTGCCCTTCTGGTGTCGCTGACGGAAATCCTGGGCCGACGAGTGTTGTAGGTGTGGACGGCGACCGAGCAAACTTGATATTGCCTTTGCGAGCATTCGAGATGGAAAGATAACTTCCGTCGGGCGGACCCATAGTTTCCGAAGGTGTCTTAGGATTCCTTGGATTCAAAGGGCTGGCTGAATCAGGCGTATGCTTTTCTGAAGCTTCCACAATGGTGGGGTTGGTCTTGACGGGGGCAGGAGTAGTGAAGGAGTTGCCACGTCCGCGGCGCATGGTAAAGGAGGGAAGAGACTGGCTCATCCGCGGTGAATCTTTGATGCCGGCCGGAAGGGGTTCACCGTCGGCCGTGGTGGGACGATCTGTCTGCACGTTGCTGTGAGGACCTAGTGGACTTGTAAATCCGAAGCTTGAGCTTGGTGTGCTCTGCTCCTGGCCAATGCCAAAAGCAGACGTAGAATGTGTAAACCGTCTGGCAGTTGGGGTCATCTGTGCCTGTTGTGGGTGTGCTGGCGTTGACTGTGACTTGAAAAGACTCTTAGTCGGTGTTGGCGGGGGAAAATCATCGGATTCAGGAGAACCTCCTGCATCCTCGCCCTCAAAACTTAACAGACTTGCTCTTCGAAGGTTATTTCCACGGATTTGCTTGAAGAACAGGCTTGCGGACCGCTCCTGGGGGCGAATGGACTGCCGCGCGGCGTGCTCGAAGCATCAGGAAGTGGGGTATTTGCTGTGCCAAAAGACAATCTAGACTGGCGTCTGGCACTTCCCAGCGGCTTTGGGGGAAACGTTGAAGAGTCGTAAGGTTGCTTCTTGCAAGGAGTGTCAGGCATAATCCCGGAGTTGTCTCCAGGACGCTTGGGCGGGCCAGCCTCCGGGTTTCGGTTCATCTTGGACACCAGCCCCGTTGACATGAAGGCGGCCTGTAACGGCTTGGCTCGCTTGTATTTCGGTGTAGCCACAGGCGGCGGGATCTTTGCGCCTAGGGGACGAGCTCCCAACGGCAGCGACTTGGAGAAGTTCAGAGGCACCCTAGGCTTTTCACCTAGGGTCACAGGAGGATGAGTGGGCGACTCATCGGGGAGGCTAGAGCCGGACGAAGATTGTGTGATGGTCCGAGACAAGGGGTGACGCTGGGCTGGCGGTCGGGGAAGCGGATGTACCGAAGCGCTGGGCAAAGGAGCCTGAGTAAAGGGGCTGCCACGGTCATCAGGCGGGAGATACTGATCGAGTGACAGCCTTGGCCTAGTCCGAGTTGTGCCACTAGCAGGAGCAACGACTTTTGGTGCCTGGCTTAGCTGCTTCTCTCCAACACGCCGACCCAGAGAAATGCGTTGATCGTCATGGCGTTGCTGTAAAGTACTCTTGCGGAGAGAGGTCGTTCGTTTGGGTAGGCTCGTGATGTCAGGCTCGGCCACAGAATCCTGAGGCGGAGTGGTACGGCGAGTGGACGACCGCAGTTCGTATCCTCTGGGCGCATCGTCATTGGCGTCGAACGGGTGCGATGTCGCTGGAGGATCATCGAGAAGGTTAGCCCCGACACCCAGACTGCGCCGCTTGGGGACTGGGCTTCCCAGAGTAGCGTGATCCATGATAAGTGTCACCTCCGTATGGTGGACAGGGCTTGCCACGGGACTTGCTATTGGGCTAGGGCTGCGCGAAGAATTGCTTCCGCAGCGGGACGGGCTTCAGGAGCCGAGACGGATGGTGGGATAGGGTTGCCCGAGTCCCTGTGGGAGCCAAAGCACCTCCTCAGGGGACTCTTTTGGGACATTCGTGACCTGGATAACGGCCTGTTAACCGGTCTAGAAGGTCTCAATGAACGGGCCGAGAGACGCTCGCCGGGCCTGAGCGGAGTTGAACCTTCACCCAAAGGTCGTTGCGAGAGTGAAACGGCGAGTGAGGAGAGGGACTGTGGTGAGCCGGCTGGCGTTGTCGAAGCTTGGCGAGCTCTGGAAGGTGATCGTGCAATGGATCTTCGCAGAGATCGAACGGAATGGATGTGTGTCGGCGAGGGTAGGGCAAGCGTACCCCCACTCCCATTCGGATATGACATATCTTTGACAGTAGTCAATGTCTGTCTTTGTTGTTGTGTTGTGGGATGTGATAGGAGCCCTTTTGAGGGACAGTCGTAAAAGGTGAAGACTGCGTGGTCAACCTGGAATTCCAGACTCCGATAACCTAAGGAAAAGGCGGCGTGAAGTCGTGATGTAAAAGAGCCGTGGAATGGTCGGGTAGTGGCATAAAATCGAGAAGTTGAGAGAAAAGTAGTAAAACCGAGAGAGAAGCTGAGCGAGCCGAGTCGAGTCCGGCCGACAGGAATTGTCACGAGAACACGTCAGATGTTGAGAGGCGAGACCAGTTCATTCCCAGACCAAGTCTGGCATCTTCGAGGCAGAAAGTGCTCCCCGTGTATTTCGCTCCTTCCACCAATGTTGCTCCAAATCTCGATCTTGTCGTTCTGTTCTGTTGGGGTAGTTCCAGTCCGAGCTCCTTCCTCAATAGCGACTTGCAATGTGCATGTCGCCAACTTTTGGGGAAGTTGCACTCTTGCGGCCAAGAGGCCGATCGGGGCAACTGCGCAGGTGCTGCGCGAGCACACTTCGGTTGACAAGGCAGCGTCGGTTCGTCGATGAGTTGGTGATGCTCACTCACTCCAAAGTGGAAGTTTCGGAGTGTTGGTGTAGTGAGAGACGAGCGGGTTCGGCGCGGTATCAGGCCGTATTGTATGTAATTCGGTATCTGGTATGGGCGGCGGGGAGGGTTGCGATCGCTAGGGGTGGGGCACGCGGGCGCTGACGCAAACAATGGAGAGAGTTTAAATGCTAAATCGACGACAATGGACTGTGATCGCCGTCCAGAATCCGCTGCGGAATACCAGAGCGCTGTAAGGGATGGGATGAGAATGGATCGAAACCCGAGACCGAAAGCCAAGGGTTGGATATGGAAGTTGTCAAGGTCGATTGAGGTTGTGTCGTATGAAGGTTGTACGGGCAGTGGATGGGCGCACAAGAAAGTGCAAGTGACAGGGAACTTAATAAGATTCACCTGCAACCCTGGCGGGATTGTTTACTAACGCTGGAGCACTGCTACGTGCTGCCAATTGCTCGTGCCAATTTGTACGCGTTGTGCAGGCGCGTTCGTCCACTTTACGCAGGTGCGCGCCAGTGAGGAAGTGGCAAAGGTACCAGTGCCCTGGCCTACCAGCGTGCCTGCCTTAGCTTATTGCACTGTGACCCCAAAGTCCCACTTATTTTGACCATCATGATGCACCTTTTGCTTTCTCTTTCCGATATCGAAATCATATTTTATTGACAGAAAAAGTTTGTTTCGGATGTGTGCATCCACTCCTTTATCACAATGAGAGCCTCCGGCTTTCTCACCATTGACAATACAATGGGCGCATTCACGGCTCACACCCTTGCTGCACCAGACAGAGACAGATCAACCTTGTGGGACGAACTGCGGAACCTCACCGCTCCGGCCAGCTGTGCCGGTAGCAAAAGCGTGAAAAGGAGGGCAGCAAGACACCAACAAAATGGCACGAGGTCGACACAAAACCAGTCAGTCAGGCTGCCTATCTCTAGGTCTGGTCTTCACTTCCAGTTTGTTGGTTCTTTCGCTCTTTCCATAGGATGAGATCTCGGTGATGGACCAGGCGGCAGCTGCCAGATCTGCCTGCCTCTACCGACGGGGGACCCTGATCATCTGGCCCAGACCAATCAGACGAACTGTCCACGACCGCTTTCTAGGATCATTTTTCCCATCAGCCAATGGGGAGTAAGATCGAGAAGCCGTTTGAATCCATATTCTGACCTTGTCGATTCATCATCCAACTTTTGCAAAGGAGGCATGCAAAAGTCCAAACCACATCAGAACTTTTCGCTGGACAGAGTTTGTAACTAGATGTTTCTGGCTGTCCAGGCCCATCGTTTTCTACGGTGATACCAGTCACTCCGTTCCATGCCTTATTGAATTCTATTCACTTCCCTGTTGATTTTCCAGCAGCAGCAATATTCCGGCAGTCTGTTTCAATCTCAGCCCGTAGGGGAATGCGGCAACTTTTCAGATCAACTTCCATGAGACACAATGGGAAATCCTCCCATGACCTGCATTTTAGTGTCTATCCAAAATGGGAATCATATTCTCTTGGGTCTTTTCCCCTTACTTTCAGGATCATTGGGCCATCCTGATCTCCCACTTGTCGATGACGCGCGCTGTCATCAAAACGAACTCCCTAAGATCCACATTCCATAAAGCATGTGCCATTTCCCCTTTGTTTCTCCTTTGGGTCACTCCGTTGGTCCCTTGAGACTTTTCTCCACATTCCTGGAATTCCAGGGACTCAAAATCTGACCAAAAGCCACCCACCCACCTGTTCCCTACAGCTTTGACGCAGGGCAATGAGCAATGGACGTCACGGCACGGTAGTTGAGGTACGTACCTATCTTTTCGTCCTTCACAAAACAGCCAATCAGAGATGAACCATGGTTCGGATCACGAACCACCCAACGTTACACCGCGGTCTGCGTGGCAGCTGCCGGTGACAACTCACATCCCAGGCAGCCAACAGAGCCTCACATCATCCCCGCAAAGTTTGATCGCAACATTTGTCCCAGGCCCCCAGCCTCCATTTCATGTTTCGTTTCGTTTGATGTTTCCATGTTTACAAAACGGACCGTTGGAATAAAATCAGATTCTGGATTGGCTAAGCATGAGTTCAGGATGAAACAACCGCGTTGGTACAAAAATGACTGCAAGCTAATGCCATTCCTCGTTTCAACTACTGCACATGCAGACATGGCAAAAAAGAGGCCATGGCCGCATCGCCAGCTGGACGACCAACAGCACCGTGCCTTCAATGGCAGAATGGCGGCTTAGGTGAAGGTAGGTACGGTTCAAGCAGGCTTACCGACCGGACAGTGAGATATGAAGAAAAGAACCAACCACCGTTGTACGCGCCGGAAACGCCGCCAACCAACAGACATGACCCAACATGGTGCATGGTCGCGCGGCTAAGGGTATCGCCATGCATCAGGGTCCGATGATCTTTTTCTCAAGGTATGCTCAAAAAGAACCGCGAGGCCACGATCGTTCCGTCATCTGGATTCCATCAGTCCTTCATGTCGCGCGATCACTTTGCCTCAGAGTGGGAGGCTATTTGATCTTGGACCTCTAGAACCTCCAGGACATCATAACAAGCCTCACAGCCTTCTCACTTTTAGTTGCAAGGCGAGGGCACTTGCTTGCTGAAGGGACTAAGTGAATGAAATCCAGATGTCATACGCATTGTTCATGAGGCTTTCGCTGCCCAGCTACATAGAACCTACGGCTAGGTATTTCAGACGTGAAAAAAAAAATTAAAAAAATTTGGTCTAGGGCTCTCAAAGTTTCAGGCTTGGAAGTGTTGTTTCCCTTCACCTCAAAAAGAATAAATAAGTACATAAACATATAAATGGCAATGGGAGCCCACCCGAAGGACGTTGGTCGCCACCACTAGTCCAAGAGTACATCTATGCCAGACGTAACGTATACCTAATCACAACAAGACGTCTTCTTCATCGGTAATACATGTATCTCTATTTACGATTAAGTAACTGTCCGGTATCACATCCGTCGAAATCGCAGTGAGTTGTTGAAGTTCGGTACGTGGATCCCTGAAGCAAATAAATCAATATCCGATGTTAATCAACGATGATGCGTCTGAATGTTTATGTCAATAAACGTATAGGCCGTAATCACAGTTATGAATGACTGGTCAGCTATAAGCATGGCACTTCGGAATCAATCACCCGAGTAACTGCAGCCTTTTCCACAGGTAAATAGATACCCATGAGCTCCTGGACGAGAACATGGACGGGAACAAGGACGTCACACATGTGTCTTATCTGCGGAGGGGAAGATATAAATTGACTCAGGAACAACAAATAGTGTTTAATTTTCGTTATTGTGACTAGTGTACTCTAGCCAGAGGGAGTCTTCATGGCACCGGTTAGTTAGTTAGTAGTTCCTAGCTTGATATTAAGTCCCCTGGTGTGAGTTTTGGGGTATAGACAGTTAACTGACTTGACGGGATGCCAAAGTTCATTCTTCGCTACGGGTCTACTGTGTATGTAGTCTAGGTTCCGGGATTCAGCAACGTCAATCAAAAATGTATGGGTTTTCTTTTTCTAACCGAATACTTAGCACACTTTCTACTCCCTCTGCCTGCTTAGCCTAGCAGGCTGTTTGTTGGGAAAAAAATGCAACGGATCTATTGAACCTTGTCATTTGTGAGCATAGTCTTTATTTATTTTCTTACACGCCTAAGGTAGCCTAGTCACCTATCACTGATTACCGATCCCTGTATGTATCTAGTACGCTGGTCTTCCCATTGTCGCCGCTTCCATTGCCGAATTATTCTTCCCACATCTCCTCCATGTGGTTGGTTGGTATTGGGGATAAAAGCGAAGTAACCACTCTGGTAATCCCAATACGGCAACCAGAACCAGAACCAGAACCAGAACCAGAACCAGAACCCTGCGCTCCAAGAAACCATCGGGACCGCTCTGCTTCACACCCTCCCGTACGGAAAGGGAGTGTCTCCAAGAAACGCTTAAGCAACAGTGAATTTACCGTTCCAAAAAATTCCAACGGTCGCTGAATCCGTCAACTTATACCAACGTTTGGTAGACCTAAACGTTCGTCCTTTAAGACGCTTGATAGTTTGAAATGGTAAAATAACCGTCCTCTAACTATTAATTAACGATTGAAAAGATGCAAACGTTTGGAAACGAGAGGCGTTAGAGCAGAGTTAACGGTTGTTTTGCTGTTGGAAATCCATTGAGGCAGGCGCAAACGTCCTAAAAAAGTTATCGTTGAGCGACCGTTCGCCGCACCCCCCTCCTTTGGTACGGTCCCTGCTCGTTCTCCTCCGCTCCTCCTTCTCTTTCTTGTGCATCCGCATCCTCGCCATTCTGATCTGCGTCTCGAATCACAACTCACTCCCACTACTGTCCCTCTCCGTCTCACCCTCTTCATATACCTCTTCTCCCTCTTTGTTCATCCGCTCACTCCCTTCACTCCCCAGAGCCTCTTAAGCCCACCTAGTCCGAATAAACTCCACCCACTTCCCAATATCCTCCACCGTCTCCAACATCTTACCCAAATCTTCCGGTCTTCTCTCCCTTCCATTCGGCGCTACCGTGTTCCGCTCGTCCAGCACGTTCTGCGACTCCACGTGTACCTGGCCGTTCTCGCGGATTTCGAGCACAACGATGGCGGTCTCGGAGGCGCGGAAGGGGAAGGCGATTTGCAACCGGGGAGCATGGACCATGGTAAGATTGATGTCGATTTTTATTGCTTCTGGTTCTGGGCCAGAGGGTCCGGAGGCAGGGGTGTGGCTGCTGTTGGGGAAGGTGTGGGTGCTAGGGTTGGGCCCGCCGGTGGGAGGGACTTGGGTGTTGAGGTGGGAAGTGGGTTGGGAGTGGGCGGCTTGGGAGGGGAGGAGCTGAGCCTGGGAGGCGCCGTCGATGGACATTGGGACGGTGCCGCTGGGATGGGGGTGATTAGGTTGGGAGACGGGGTCGATCGACATGGACTTGGAGATGTCCATTGGTGTTGGAGCATCGCTCCTGGGAGATTTGACGGTGGCGGGGGAGAGGCTCATGAAGCGGTCGAATTCGTCACGGTTGGTGGTGGTCTTTTTGGATAGGGAGTCTGAATAGACCGTGGTCTGAGGAGGAGTCCGTTTGGGGCCGGTGTCTTCTTTGAAACTGTTTTCTAGGAGGGTGGAGAGGAAGGCGTATTGCCTGAGGTAGGGCAACATAGCGATGAGCTGCTGCGGGTGCGAGAAGGAGGCCTCGGCCAAGGTCTTGCCGTATACGTTCTTATAGATATAGAGCGAGTTGGCGTGTTTCCTTGAATTCCAAGCTGGTGAGCCTGGCAACTGGTAGTTGATGTATTTGGTGCAGTGAATTTCCCGTAGTTCAGACGGGTCATAGTAGCCACCGGGTGCCATTGGGAACACGAGGAGGTCAAAGGCCTTTCTCTCCTCCATGGGTGGTATCCCGATGCCCATACTCCGAAGCTGTTCCCAGAGACCGAGAGATATAGGCATAGGAGGATCGAAAGTGGCACTGAAGGTGACCGACGGCAGGCGCGGGCCAAGCAGAGAATCCCCAGCCTTTTCAGGATCTGGTGGAACGAGTGTATCTTGGGGCTCCAGCCAGTCAACCACAGGACCCGTTTGTAGATCTCCAGGAATATGAGGTCTCTCAACACTCTCAGAGATCCAATGGGAAGAAACCCGAACCGGATGGACGTTCACGTCGAGATCCATGTTGATAGGGGCACATCCGATAAGGATTCCCCAGATCTTTTCGTGCTTCTCAACATAGGTGGCCATCTGTGGGTTTGTTGGGGGCTGAAGGTACTTGTCCTTCCAATAGTCAATTCTCATGCCTACTTTGCCCCTGGCGTTCATAGCAGGAGTTCCGCTGCGTGTGCAAAGGACGATGTTGCGAAGATATTCATCGCTCCGTCCGGCAAGAGACGCATCCTCACGAATCTTTTGCAGCTCCCATTGATGCAACCGGCTCAGGCTGTCGTAAACTCCGGCAATAGCTTCGTACAAGTTAAGAACCGAGGCGATGCTCAGCTTATCCAAGATGGCCAGACGCTCAAAGTTGACAGAGAACTTGTCGAGCTGCTTGGTCAGTGGGCTTTGGCCGGGCTGCAACTTGAGGTTCTCCAGAAGAATCTTTCCTGCATCTTCGGCGTGCTTGTTGACACTATCCGAAGACTCGGGAAAGGCCAAAGCAAGTGACTGGACGATGTTGTCTGTAAAGCCTATGAGAAGCTCGAGGGCCGAACCAGCTATGATAAGGGTTCGCTTCGACTCTCCGGCAATATGCTCATCCCACATGCAGTCCAGTCCTAGCTTTCTGGCCAGTCTCTCGAGGCCGGCCTCGCTAACATATCCGCGGATTTGGCTGAGGATGGAGATGACTTCATCTAGACGTTTGGCCTTTTCATCGTCGGTATTCCTTCCGACTTGAAGGCCAGCTAGACCACCCATGCTCTTGAAATCCAGCTCAGACAGCTGCAGGTTGCTAAAGGCAGCGGCAGCAGAGGGGCTATCAAAGCTGACGGCGCTGTTGCTGGTAGGATGGTTTAGCAGGGCAGCGGCCGAGATGGCCGGGGATTTCTTAACTGCCTGCGGAGACAGACGGGAACCGTGAGGGGACAGAGCAGCATGAGCCATGGAGAACGGTGTTGACACAGGAGGGGTAGCTGCTGCTCCATGTTGTGTCTGTGAAGGTGTCTTGCCGCTCCCTTGCTGGGAAAGAGTATGCTTCATGGGTGTTGGCGTCGTCATCTTGCCGTTTGTTTATATGCGAATGAGTCTTTGCCGTCCCGGACAAGGTGTCCCAGGCAAGAGTTGGACCGTTGGTCTCGGGGTATGTCGCTGCCTCGTCTGAATAAGCAGTCGTAGGCTTTCTCTCAGCCGGATTGAGATGCGTCGACAGCCGGCCCAGTCTAAAATATGTTTCTCTGCCGTTGGTGTTGGTGAAAGTGGAATGGGAGGTTGAAGTCCGTCGAAAGTTGACAGAAGCGGCCAATCAACTGAGACCAAATCCTGGGAATGTGAATGGAGAATCGATCTTTTGAGCTCTCTGCTGCCCGTGATCCCAGATAATGATGGTACTGATTGATATGGGCCCGCCCAAATAACCAATCCAGAAACGTCGATGAAATAATCGAGTGTGTGCCAAAATGCTGTTTCGCAAAACAATGTACTTGTATGTTTGGCGGGAGTTTTGGAAGTGTAGAGGAGAGGAGCAAGCAGAAACGAAGACGACTTGGAGAAGTGAGTGGAAGTCGGGGACTGGCGTTGACTGAAGGGAAGGGCTGCCTGTGCACGGACCCCTACCATATCTACTCAAGGTAGCTGGAAGTACACGCCCAAAAATGCAGGTACTGGTAGGCACCTAGCCCACTGTAACTGCCTTTGGCTTCAGCGGTCCTTCACTGACTTTGGCACCTGCAACAATCCCAAGGCAGGTGGGCCAGCCCACACCGGCAGGCATGACGGGAGGTCAGCTCCCAACAGCAAGTGGAAAGTGCCCCTCGACAATCAACAACCAATGTCAACAAGACAAAACCTCCCAGCAACAAACATCTTCTCCCACATCTTCCCAGCCATCTCGACTCTCGCGCACCCCTTTTTCACGGCCAGAATACGTGTCAACCAACAAACACTAGCTCAAGTAGCCGAGGCGAATTAATTACTACCACGCGCTAGCTATCAACATCATCGCATAAACAAATTGTCCATCCAACAGAGCTGCCACTATCCTTCATCCCGACCACAACGCAAGACACGGACTCATCGTTACGTCTACATACTTCGTTGTATTAGTAACTCTACCGTCACAATAGTGCTGGGACGCTCTACGAGTCGCCCTCGATCGGGCTCAGACAAGGACGACGAAGGTCCGGACAAAGACACAGGCGCATCCCCAGACTCGCGACAGTCCTTGGAAACCACGACAGGGCAAACAGCCAAATTGGCAAGTAGAGTTCCTCTGGAGCCTACACCGAATACAAGATCTCCATTCATCCACGGCTCTGTCTTGAATCCACAGCAGCAACGCCGGCCACGAGAAGGCTCACTACAGAAGGAGAATAACGACCCTGACCAAGCCCCTTCTTCCAACACACCATCCCGTCGACGTAGGGAGATTCTAGAGCCGCCAGCTCTCGAATGGATCCGTGGACAGACACGAACGAGTACATCTAAGGACTAGAAACCTGATTCTGCTGCGACTTCGGATCCTTCACCAACACTTCCTTCTGCGCCAAGGCCCCGTTCTGCAAGCATTGTTCGATCTTCGGACACACCTCGCGCGTCTCGCCTTGACCTAGTTCGAGATATCAGCGGCGATAACGTCACACAGACCTTGGAAGCTGCCGGTGCTTTTGCTAAGTTTGTTGAGGACGTAAGGAACCTAGAAAAGTCTGTCACCCGACCTTGTGTACCCAGGTTACCACCCCGGCCGCCTCTCCCTACTCCGCGCAAACTTCCAACATCATCCAGCGGCCGTCAAAGAGCGAAATCACTCCCAGCCGGCAAAAGAGCCTGGTCGAACCCCAGAAGAGACAAGTCAGAAGAAACAGACAACGAAGACGAAGAGGACATGAACGGCATGCATGCTGGAAATATGCCCGCGGCCATGGTTGGCCTCCCTACGCCGGCAGGGCACCAAGCCGAGCTAAATTACATCTACGGCTTGGTTGAGGAGTTGAGCCGACAGCTTGCGCAGAATCAGCGCGCCCTGGAGGAGGTAGTCTCGGGCGTTGGCAAAGTGCGCGGGCGAGCAAGGTCACAGTCTCTGACAAATGACGAACTACTCAATGCCGCCGGGGAAGAACTCAAGAGTATGTCTCTCCCGCCCTCTCATCCTCTCACTTACACGCCCATAACCTTACACTTACTAACTCATCTGTATCTGCATAGACCAAGACGAAAACATAGACCAACTAGTCTCCATCCTCACGGAAGCTCTCGAAAAAGCCAAATTCTCTCGCGACGCCAACGCCGCCCTTTTGTCTCAATACTCGCAAGTCATGTACACCATGCTCAAGAAATTCCACGAGTACAAAGCCAAGCACGTGTCCGACGTGGCCGCCTGGCACCACTCGTACCGGGCCCAGCTCGCCGAGGCGCGCGCGGAGAATAGTCGGCTGCGCGAGCAGATCTGGGAGATGCAGGCGCACGCGGGCAAAGCCAACGAGCTGGTGCGGCGGTTCCGGGCCGAGTACGACAAGGACGAAAAGCGCTGGGAGCGCAATGTCAATACCAAGGCCGTGAGGCAGGAGCTGAGGTTCTGGAAACGCATGGCGATGCCGGAACTGCCAGATGATGACGAGTTTTGGAGCGATGATGATGATGTTATTGATGGGGCGGAGAAGGAGAGGCAGAAGGAGATACAAAAGTTGGATGCGGAGCAGCAGGCGCAGGCTGCGCAGGCTGTGGCGGAGGAGGCGGCTGCTAATGAGGCTGCTGCTGAAAGTAGTGGTGGGTTGGGAGAGATGAGTGGGAGTGGAAGTGGGAGTAATGGTTCTGGCCTGACGGGGGTACCGCCGGAGGTACCACAGCCGCCGGTTTCCTGAATGAACGTACGTACGTACGGCTTGAGGCCATAAAGGTGGTGGTCGTATACTTTTTTTTCGTGTTCAGCGGCGTTAATAGGGGTGTCAAATTACTTCTGCATATAGTTTTTAGGAGTGGGAAACGTGTATACAAATCAATTCGTAAGCGACTACAGTAATCAAAGCGCAATAAACGATAATAACCGTGAAGCGTGAAGGGTCATCTCGAGTCACCTCATTTCACGGTTTGTCTACAATAGTTCACTTCGATGCCCAAGTCAAGTGAGTGTAAGTGTGTAATAGAACAAATATGCTGTTGCTGTTGATTTGATAGCTACGACATGAGGAGCTCGATGCGTGAAAGCCCAAAAGCTCCATAACTAGCTAGGTAAATAACTAAATCCCTTCCCAACGACAAAACAAAAGGTGTTGTTGTCTTTTTCACTGACAAAGAACCTCCGATCCTGATATGACAAAACTCCAACCAACCGGCACCAAAAAAAAA